CTTTGAATCGCATGTATCATTTGTCAATTGAAACTGCATTTTAATATGTATAACAAAATTACACTAAGATATGACTGAAAAAATCTCACCGAAAATGAAAAGATATTTGATAAAACCAATAAGAAGTTGAAATGCGGTTGGCAAAAAAAATGGAGAAAATATAAAAAATAAATATTTTTAAAACATGCAATTTTCTATGTTGGTTCTCTTAGGAAACTAATGTATAATTTTTTTAAACCATTTGTTCCTTTGCGCAACTATTTTACATTAGTTCTCTCATAAAACTTATACATAACATATTTTAAAAAAATCTATAGTTTTTTATATTAGTTCTTTAGAAAAATAAAAGATGTAGAAAGTTTTTTTTATGTAGCTACTTTAACATTAGTTTTCTCATAAATTGATACAGAACATATTTTTTTTATGTAACTACTTCAACATCAATTCTCTCATGATGCTGATACAAAACATAAAACATATTTAAAAAAAACACATAACTTTCTACATTGGTTATTTGTAAAAAACTAATGTAATTTTTTTTTTTTACGCAGCTACTTCAACATCGATTTTCTCAAAAAACTAATGTAGAACGTATTAAAAAAAATACAACTTACTACATTGGGTCTCTGGATAGAACAGATGTAGAAAGTTAATTTTTTTTCATACCTACTTCTATATTGGTTCTTTTAATGCTTTTCTTTTTAAATATACTTTCAACATAAGTTTTCTGAAACTGATATAAAAAGTAGCAAAATTTGTTTAATATTATTATTTTTAAAGTAAACTTTGAAGGTGCATATATGAAAGGTTTTCTAATTTTTAACATGAACAAATATAGATAAGCTTTGATTGTTTGCTTCTAATGGAAATGGAAGCAATTGTTCCACTGTGTTAATAAACATAATAGCAATTTGGTATCCATAGAGTAGCTCTTATAGCTAATTAATAAACAATGTGCAAAAGGTATTCTATACATGAATATTAAATTAGATTAGATAGAAAGTGAAAGAAAATATGTTGTTTTATTAGTTTAATTTTTTTTTTATGTATTAAAAATTTTGTCATTTATGAAACTTTAATGATACTAATGAAATGGAAATAAAAGAGAAAGAAAATAAAGAAGACTAAGAATAAGGAACACAAACAATAATTTAAAATTCAAATATTTTCTAAATTTGTTAGTGTTATATTTTTCTGGATAAAGTTTGTCATTTATGAATCATTTATTCGATAAGAACGAAAGAGAGAGAAGAGAAGAAAAATAAAGACAAAGAAAAAAAAAAAAACAAAAACAAGAAATCAAAAACTAATATTAAAAAAAAAGAGTACATAATTATCTTATTAATTTCATAACTTGTATACTTTGTGATAATTGTATTGAGTATTTTCAATAAATTAAGTATCAACGATCAATAAAAAATATGAACTTTTGACTTATAATACGAATTGATAATAAAAAAAATTATAAAATTATAAATATATTTTAATAAATTTAACTTAAATAATTAATTTTTTATAATTAAATTTTAACTATCTAATTAAAATTAATGTTTTACAATATTTAATATCTTTTTAAAAATTATTTTTATCTTATTTTTTACACAAGAAAGAAGTATATTAGAATTGACGATAAACAAAATTAAACTCGGTTAAACAAAATAGAATTTTTAGGTTCGGTGTTGTACTGTAATATGTGTCGTGGCCCGAATTATTTAGCACGCGTAAGCATCAAGGACGCTGTCACTGTCAATTTTGGAAGTTTGCAATTCAATTTAAGGGACCAAGGCTATATTGACGTACCTTTTTCATTAAAAAGGAAATAAAAAAATTAATAATGTGATAGCAAACGATGAAAAAAAATAACGTAAAAAACATTAAAATAATATTTTTTAAAAATCATATTATGTTTGATTATTTTGAGTTTTGTCTACTGCTGTATAGATGAAACTCATTGTGTTATATGTAATATTTGAGTCAATTAATTTATAAAACTGATTTTAAAAAAATATTTAAATATTTAATTTAAAATAATATTTTTAAAAAATATATTTTTTATCTAAAGCATTTTTATCATGTTAACACTACTTTTATTCATTGTCTTAATTAAATATGATTCTTTTATTTTTTAAATTATATTTCATTTTTATGAAAGATAAAATTATTAAATCATTTTATGAGTTATTATTTAATGAATTTTATCTGCTGTAAAGATGAAACTCATGTAATTATGTCATGTGTCATTATCATTATTTTATTTTAAAGACAAAACTTACATAATTATATTAAGTGTTATATTTGTGTTAATTTATAAAATTAATTTTAAATTTTTTTAATATTTAATTAAAATTTATTAAAAATTAATATCATAATATTTAATTTAAAAATTAAAAAAAAATTTACATAATTTTTAATTAACTTAATTAATAATTACAAATATATTAAAAATTGTATATTAAAACACACCTTATAATACTAAAGAGAAGATGTGCTAACAAAATTAAAGTGCGAGTAATAAACATTTTTTTTTTCAAACTAGTTTAGTAAGTTGGGTCAAGCATGACAAATTTTTAATAATTTTAGATAATAAATATGTATTTTTAAATTTTTTTTATTTATAAATAGTTAAAATATGATTTACAAAATATTAATACCGTATTTTTAAAAAAAAATCTTAATGTGATTTTCGTTATTAATTAAGTTATTTAAAAAATATAATTTTTTTTATTCTTAAATTAAATATTATGATTTTTTATTTTTAATATATTTTAATCAAATATTAAAATATAATTTTTTAATTATTTTCTTAAATTGATTTGATAGTTTCAACTTTGCTTATTGCAAAATATGATTTAAAAATAAAAAAAAAGTTATATTGTGTGAGAAAATAATAGAGGATGAAATAAGTGTTGACATGGTAAAAATGGGCTTTTTTATTTAAATAATACATTTTTAAAAACAAATTCTTAAAATAAGGTTTATGCTAAACTATTTCTGTGTCTGGGGCTTTTTTTTGCCAGGTAAGCAGTAGTATCGCACATGCATAGACGATAGTAAATTTTTATTATTATTTTAATAGAGTATCGTTCCAACATTACCGATACTATACCAGACACAGACATTTGTCAACATCGCACGAGTATCGGACAAAGTGAAACGATAACATATTTTTATAATTATTTTAATATATTATCGTCGTCCAGCATTCGAAACTCATATTTTTTTAATCAATTTTAATAATATTGTTGCAGATTAACCGATACTCAATATTTCAAAAAAAACGAAAAATGACTTATAATTCAATTTTAGAGATCGGTTCATTTTGAACCGCTCTCGTAACTCATCTTTAGAGAGCGCTCTCATAACTCAATTTTAGAGAGCGGTTCAATTTGAACCGCTCTCATAACTCATCTTTAGAGAATTTATGTTTTTGATTAAATATAAATAAAATAGGTGAAGTAAAATAAATATACAAATTTAAATAAAGTAATAACATAGGTATTGCATAATTTTTTAAATTGTTATTTAATAAAATAGAATATAAAAAGAGAATTTAATATTACTAAAATTAATGATAATATTTATTCTTATGGTATATAATAAGTATACCATTAAAAGTTATTTTTAAAACTTTGATGCATACATATAGAATTTGGTATTGATATTTTATTTGAGACATCAAATTTAAAAAAATAGATGTGTTGCAACTGTTATATTGATATTAATGAATTGTATAAATGTATAATTATTTATAATGTGTTTATAATGACATAATAATGATAATGTATATTTTTAAATTTGTAGATGACTTCATCTTCGTCTGAACAGTTGAGTTATGAGAGCGGTTCAAATTGAACCGCTCTCTAAAATTGAGTTACGAGAGCGGTTCAAAATAAACCGCTCTCTAAAATTGAGTTATGAGAGCGGTTCAAAATGAACCGCTCTCTAAAATTGAGTTATAAGTCATTTTTCGTTCTTTTTGAAATATTGAGTATCGGTTAATCTGCAATGATAATATTAAAATTGATTAAAAAATTATGAGTTTCGAATGCTGGACATCGATAATATATTAAAATAATTATAAAAATATGTTATCGTTTCACTTTGTCCGATACTCATGCGATGTTGACAAGTGTCTGTGTCTGGTATAGTATCGGTAATGTTGGAACGATATTCTATTAAAATAATAATAAAAATTTACTATCGTCTATGTATGTGCGATACTACTGCCTACCTGGCAAAATAAAGCCTCAGACAAAGAAATAGTTTAGCATAAACCTTATTTTAAAAATTTGTTTTTAAAAATGTATTATTTAAATAAAAAAGCCGTAAAAATGAGTACAAGCAAGAAATATATTTTTAAAAATTATCATTTTAAGAATTAAAAAAAAAAGCCTACCTCGCATTTGTTAGAAAAAAGTTCTCAAAGAAAACGTACCTAAACAAGGGAGTTAATAAAATCAATTGAGCTATTAATAGGTTTCGATGACCAATATGGCGCAATTTCGTTTTAACTTTGTCATTATTTTTTCAATCGAGAGAACATTTTGAAACATTAAATGTACTCTCTTATTTTTAAGCTAATCATTTTAGTTAATCTCTCCTGGTCAGTATCTAATATAACATATTTTTCTGATATAAGACTTAAAATAATTCCCTTTTATCGACACCCAAAATTAACTTATTTATTAAATATATTCAATTTTTAAATTTCAGCCGAATTTTTTAAAAACACATTTTACAATTGAATATTTTAAATAAACATACCAGCCTACTTTGAAATAATTTCATACACTTAACTTGTATTTAAACGATTGAACTCAAAATCTTGAATCCTTCTATTCTTCTTTTATCTTTTATAAATTTGTAGTATTTTTTTTATGAATCACTTTATATTTTTTATAATTTTTTATACTTTTAATAAATACATTTGAATGAAAAGGTTTCGGAATAAAAGTTTGAATGAAATAGAAGGGTATATGCATCCAAGGGAGAGGAGTAAGGGGGAGTGAAAGATGAAAAGGAGGAAGAAAATGGAGGAAGGAGTGGGGAGTGGGGGAGTGAGGAGTGAGGAGGAAAGGAGAAACAGGAAGCTGAAGAAAATTGAAAATGCTAGAAGAATGGGGGAGTGAAGTAAGTGGGTGCGCGTTGTAAGCAAGGCGCACGTTAGCCCCTTCCCCCACCAAATGGGTGGTGCCCTCCTCGTCCTATCCTGTCCACATCTCAAAACCAGCCGCACACCCCAACCCACCACCACCCACTATGTTACCATTACCAACCACTCTCTCTCTACCCTTTTCACGCTCTCTCTCCAATGGCTTCCCCCACCCCTCCCTCTCCCTCAGATCCTCCCTCCGCCGTTCCCCTCGCCCTTCCCGTCGCCGCACCACCCTCCTCCCGCCGCCTTCCTCCGCCCTGCTGGTCCCCCGACGAAACCCTCGCCCTCATCGACGCCTACCGCGACAAGTGGTACTCCCTCGCCCGCGGTAACCTCAAAGCCACCCACTGGCAAGAGGTCGCCGACGCCGTCGCCCACCGTTGCCCCAACGCTTCCCCTCCTAAAACGCCCGTTCAGTGCCGCCACAAGATGGAGAAGCTCCGCAAGCGCTACCGCACCGAGATCCAGCGTGCTCGCTCCCTCCCCCTCTCTCGCTTCAACTCCTCCTGGGTCCACTTCAAACTCATGGATTCCATGGAGAAAGGTCCCTCCCCTGTCAAACCCCAAAACGATTCTGACAGTGCCGACGACGACGACGACGATCACGATCCCTTTCAGGATATCCACAACAACAACGCTGGTCATGGATCTAACACGAGGAGCTTAAACAAGTTGTATAGGAACGGGTTTGGGGGTTCTGGTGGCCCTGGGTTTAGGATTCGAATTCCCACTGCGCCCAAGATGTTTCCGAATCAGAAATTTAACCCTAATTTGAATCAAAACCCTGCCTCTAATTTTGGGGCGAAGAAGAGGGACCCCGTGGGTGAAGTGGTGTCTGCGATTAAGGTTCTTGGAGACGGCTTCGTGAGGATGGAACAGATGAAGATGGAGATGGCGAGGGAGATTGAGACCATGCGGATGGAGATGGAAATGAAGCGCACTGAGATGATTCTCGACTCTCAACACCGAATCCTCGAGGCCTTCGCTAAGGCCCTTTCTGACAACAACAAGAAGCCTAAGACTGTCCCTTCTCCCCAACAACCTTAAACAACAGTAACGCCAATGCCGATCGTAGTTTCTGGTGCTTTTCTAGTTTGTTTAGATATACTTCTCTTTTTGTAATTTTTAAGGTTAGATGCGGAGATTTCCAAGTTCATCAGTTCTAGGTTGATGATTCATTTCGTACTCTTCATTTTCCTGCTTTCCTTTTTATCTTCAAATAAAACTGCAGAACAGAATCTGAATCTCTTGCCACAATAGTTTCTGTGCTTTGGATTTGTTACGAGTAACAAAGAGAGTTAGTGGTTAAATTTTCCCGCATATATTTATGCCATTGCCTTGTTTTAAGTATTTGTGGTGGGATGTATATAGTCTTGCCAGATGCATATCCTCAAGTTATTCTTATTTTTTCCCCCATTTGCGCTACTTGTGTGGTGTTTATTCAATTGCTGAAATATAATTGCTCAAGTGCTTCGAAGCAATTGTAAACAAATAAAAACTTGTCTCTGAATTATGCAATTGGGTATGAAGACGGGTCTAAACGTCCATAACTACAATAGGAAGCTAACAACAAAGGTGAAAATTGCTTTATCAGAAGGTCCCAAAGGAACTGATCGGTCAGCAGAGGAAAAGCTTAAAGCTGTATGAAACTAACATATGCAACCCATGGCCATAACTTTTCTGTAAGCACAACCTCCCCAAGCAAGGAAGCATTCAGAGATTATCCGAATTTAGTTTATTTATTTAACATAAAAAGAAATTACAACTCTTGTGATCTTCTGTATAATTCTTTTATGCTTTTCTTTTTTGTATACAAACACCTCAATGTATATTTGAAGATTAAAAGAGAGGTTTTTTATTGCCATATTTTGTTGTTTGAAAATGATTATGCTATCCGAACTGGTGGAGTACAGTGGTGACCACAAAGCACACCCCTTTTGCAGTTTAGTAATTTGATGTTCAGCATTGTGCCCTCTGGCCCAAGTAACGCCGGTCCCTGTATAACCTGGCATGGGCCCAGCTCTTGTTTAATCCAAATGAACCCTAACTCAATTAAAGGAATATATGTTTATAATTCTGTCAATTCAAACAGCAAGTGATGACTATAACAAGTAGTGAGACTTGGCAAGTTATGTGCAAGATGACTAGGGTTCAAATCTTGTGACTTGAGAAATTTTACATTTCTTTCCCTCTTCTAATTTGATGGCCCAAACAAAAAATAAAGAGTGACACTGGCGTTAAATGAGGTGGGCGCTTGATTTTCGTCACCATGCCAAACAATAAATAAAACAACACCCTAAACAAAGATAATAAGAATAATATTTTAATTTTCTTTCAAAATTAGTTTTCATCTCGTTTTAGACGATATTTAAAAAGTGTAGTTATCTATTAATATAAAATTAATTGTGATCATTATTTTATCTTATTAAAATGAAATTTTATAGTATTTTTTGTTCCCTCGTATCATTCTCTGTCGAACTTAAACAAGATATTTGGGAATATTACTTTCCAAACAATGACAAAATTATAACTATAATTTAAAAGGCTTTTTTTGTTCAGAAGTGAGATTTAGAATTTGAAAATAAAATAAATTAAATTTTTACACTAGTTTTTTTATTTAAAATATTACAATTTAATATTTTAAATATATCTTATTATTAAAAAAATTAATTAAAATTGATGTTTTATTTTTTGATATAATTATGAATTCAATAAATAATTTAGAGTGTATATAGATAATGAGGGAGAGTAAGCAAATTGAATTGAGAGTGGAAGAATAAAGTGTTACGAATAAAAAGTGAGAGGTCAGATTAATAAATTAAAGTTTATCATTAATATTATGGATCTATATTAACAACATAATGCATTATATTAATAATATAGGATACTACTAGTACACATCAGATTACATATTAAATTGATATTATTATTATTATTATTATTATCAGCTTAAACTTAAAATATTTATGTTAAAAAGTTGATTTATTTAAATTAAAAAATATTGCAATCTATTCTAATGGATAATTTCCCAAAGATCCATTAATGCATTGTCTTAATGAAAATCGGCACCAAACAAAGCATCACAGTTTTTATTTTTATTTGTATGTGTTTTGGGAATTTGCCATGGTAATTGTCGGGTATACAGCATGAGTTTATCGATTGATGTTTGTAATCTTTGTTTTTGTTTTACTGAAAGACTTGTTGTCCTCTCGCTCGGTATGTTCTTCCTTCCCAACTTTACCTTTGTGGCCTGTTTCGTGTGCTGTGATTTTCTTTGGTTTTATTGTCCACGACACTAACATTCTGGTCAAAGAGTTTATTGTTACATTGAGGCCTCAGTCACTACATCTTCGTATACTGAACATATTCCTTTCATATTGGGGGTGCTGGAACAAGTTGCAGGGTTTAAAGATATTTGTAATTTTTATGCATAATATTTTTTAAAAATTTTAGTTCTTTTTTATAATTATTTGAATTACATTACAAAATATTAATTAAGTTATTACATATAGAACAAAATTTAAAAAATTGTAATGTGTAAGGATTATATATTAATTATATAATAATTTTAATCTTTATATTTGATACTCATATTTAAATTGATATATACCGTGTTTTAATTTCAATTATGTCAATAACAGGTAGTGATAACATAATTGAAAACAAGAACACACATATACAGATTAATTTTGTATACATATAAAATTAAATCAATATTACATATAAAAGTAAACTTAAATAACCCTTACGTGTAAATCTAAAAATGTATTTTAAACTAGTCGTCATGTGTAAATTGGTTTTGAGTGAAAAATAATTGGAACTAACTCCCATGTTGCCTCACTGTACAGTGTGGGATCCAATTTGATACCCTATTCATTCATAGTGGTGACGGGGAAAATTAAATGTTTGCTGTTGTTGTATATAAGTGTGGTGTATACCTTTTGAGGGAACAACGCAAGAGATATCTCATAAATTTTATTTTTTTCCTAAGAACAATCTTGTTTGAAATAATGCTTTGGAAAGCCTGCATCCTTGATATTGTATGCGCTCTTTGTCTTTTTTTCTTGATTAATGAAAGGCTTCGGTCGGCGGTATAAATGTGCTGTAATCGAATTAAACAATTTAATTATATTATTTACTGAAATAATTTATCTTACCAAAAAAACTGAAAATTTCGTGAATGGAAACCATGGAAGTTTTAGCCAATTAGCATGGAAGAGAGATAACTGGGGAGAGTGTAAGTCTTGAACTGGAACAGCGCATGTTGAGTTTTATTAATTTGGTGTGAATAGCAAGAGCGTTATTGGAAATTGGTATTAATGAAGGGGCTTAAGGTCCCTGAGTCGCTTGAGATCATCAATCAAGGCCGTTAAATTATTGTGAGACGAGCCCCCTTCTTGAACAGCCTGTTCAGCCATCTTGGCAAACTGTTTGGCACGCCGTCTAATTTGCTGGGCTTCATCACCACCGTCCATCAACCTTCTCACAGCCTTCTCAATGCAATCTCGTGGCACCAGCTTCTTCCGCTGCCCAAAACCAATAACGCTCCATTCCCGTGCACCCACTTCCACCCCAATCCCCCGAACCTCAGTGACCAGCTTCTCGTTGTAAAACTGCTCATCATGCACCGGCCACGTGATCATGGGAACCCCAGCGCTAACAGCCTCAACCGTCGAGTTCCACCCGCAATGCGTGAGAAACGCACCAATAGCGGGGTGGCCCAGAATAACTACCTGTGGGGCCCATCCCCTAATCATCATTCCCTTCGTTTTATTCCTCTTCTCGAACCCTTCAGGTAGCCACTTCTCTCTCTCTTCCTCGCTCTCATCCTCCTTCCCTTTCTTCTCAGGAACCACCCACATGAAATCGTGACCCGATGCTTCTATCCCACACGCCATCTCGTATAGTTGTTTATCCGATAGATGACAGAGGCTCCCAAAGCATATGTAAACCACCGACTTTCCTCGCTTCCGATTCAGCCAACTCAGACACTCGTCCGCGCTCACCACGCTCTTTTGCCCCCTCTCTGCCTTCTCTTCAGCGCTTCTTCTGCAAATAACCGAGGCTGGTCCAATATGCCAAGCCTTGTGACCGCTCGTTCTTTTGTAGTGCTCCATGTACTCTTCTCCGTCCAGTTCTGCCAAATTGTTCACGATGAGGCCGTAGCTTTTGCGCTCCGTTTCCAGCATTGGTTCCATGAATCTAGTCAATATCTTTGGTGGTGTTGCGTTCAAGGTGATAGGGTGAGGGAGACCACCAATAACAGAGAAACCGGAATCAACGCTGGAGTTGGACCAGTTTGACTTGTTCATGGACTCCATGGCGCATACTGCAAAGAGAGAGTAACCGTTGAAGGCAAGTCTAGGGATGCAAAGCTTCTTTGCCACGTCATGCACCCATGGAAACAGAAAGTCCGCGACGATGCAATCGGGTGCGTGCTGCTCCACGAAACGCTCCACAGGTCCGCGGAGCAGCGCGGTGGCTTGGTGGACCCTGGCTGCGTTTACGAGGCCGGAGACGGCGGAAAGATTTTCGACGCCGTTTGGGAGGCCCACTTCGCGAGAGGGGAATGGAACAGTATGGAGGCGGAGGAAGGGGTGGAAGGGAATGGATTTGCGGAGGGTTTGGGCGTTGGAGGGAGTGGTGATGATGGTCACGTGGTGGCCACGTGAGGCGAAGAGTGTGGCTATGTCGCATAGAGATGTGGCCGGGTGCGGGGTAAGGAATGAAGTCAAGTTTCAATGGCTGTTCTTCAACACAAGCAGCTCCCATTTTAGATTCTCGTGGCAGAGACTTCAAATGACCACGCGAACTAGGCAAGCCTTTGCTTTGCCTACCATGTTGAAATACAACTTTTTATAGTGCAAACTTTAATGTTAAATTATTACAATCAACATTTAATCTTGTCTTCTATCATATTTTATAAGATACAATCAACATGTTTATAATTTGTAATATAATCTTTATTAGACATCGTTTAGTGATTTAGTTATGTTATATTACATAATATTTTGAAATAGTTATTGATATAATATGATTAAATTGTTTTATTAATAATAATGAATTTTTTAAAGTTTAAATTTACATGAATCAAAATTTTTATTTTTTTTAATATAGTAAAATTAAATGAATTTATATTTGTAGAGGTTAAAAATATATTTAAATTATCTCTGAATTCACATACTTTTTATTTTCATAAACTAAAAAAATTATAAATTGAGATATTAATATTTAATGTAATAGAAATGACAAGTAAACCATAAATATATCAAATAATGAAACAACAGAAAATACTTAAAATGTTATATGATAATCATAAAAAATAGCCATGCAATAGTTTTTTTTTATTTTATTGATAACAATATATTCTTATTACTACTAGAAAACCTAAAAATATAGACAGATTTATAGACAAATTTTTTCATTATTACAAATAAATTTTAACATTATAGACGAATTTAAAGATGGCTTTAGTAATATGCACGTCGGTAAAAAAATATAGACAGATTTAAAAAATTATCTGTAATTTACAGACAAAAAAATCTGTCTGTAATTATAGATGAAAAAATTTGTCTATAAATTATAGATGAAAAAATCTATCTGTAATTCATTTATGAAATTTAAAAAAAAAATATTTCAATTTTTATATTAATATTAATATTTCCTTACATTTAAAAAAAATTTGGCAAAATCTTTCCTAATATATTAATATTTTCTTGCATTTATTTACACGTACTTAATATAAAAATATAAATTTTCTTTACACATAATTTATATATTATATAACAATCTATTAATCAATGCATAAAAAACATACACATTACAATCCTAAATCGTTTTAGAGCACATCCCCTTATAACTTCACAACATGCATATTCTACAAATTTCACAAACATAAACAATCCCACAGCACACAATAATCAGGTTCAGAGAATGACCTTTACGCCCTTTCCCCAGTCATATAATCTTCGATCTTATAACTTTATCTTAGAAATTTTAAGTCTCTAAAATACATCAAAAATAAAAAAATTAAACCAATTAAAAGTTAGAGTATCATACCAGGAATACAATAATGCAAATTATTTTTCAAACAAATGCTCTAATCACTCACAAAGGCAAAAAAAACTGAGCCCATAGAGAGAGACAAAGAGAGGTGAGAGAGAAAGATTTATGAAAAATGAGGAAGGGGAAGGGGGAGACGCAGTTTTATGGGTTTCAGACATTACAGACGAAAAAATTCGTATGTAAATGGTTTAATGAAATGGTGCATTTTAAAGGTCTATTTACAGACAAATTTTTCTGTCTGTAAATTCGTCAATTCTATTTATAGATGAAAACATCCGTCTGTAAATAACCACATAAAAAGTCGGTTAAACAGTGTCATATTTATATATGGAAAAATCCGTCTGTAACTCCCACTTCAAATTTCTCTCCTATTTTCAAATTAGAGACGAAAAAATATGTCTGTAATTATTGTCTATATTTTTTTGCACTAAAAGGCGGGCAAATTACAGACGAATATTACAAACAAATTTTTATCCGTTTGTAATATAGACAAATTTTTTAGAAATTAAAAAAAAAAAACCAATCACAAATCCGTCTGCATTACAGACAGATAAAATCTGTTTTAATATCTATCTGTAAATGACGCTTTTCTAGTTTATTTTTTTATAAAGAGTTAAGAAAGAAACTTGTATATTCTTATATGATTAAAAATAAATTATTTCAAATATATATTGTCATAATTACGATTTTATATTCATTTGATTTATATCTAGTTTTTAATTTACTTTAATAATTATAATATTGTATCAAATATTGAAGATTAATTTTAGGTTAAGGCCGTGCCGTGCTGTCTCATATTCTAACGAAAATGATTAAATAAATAATAGATAAAAATATCATTGAACATTATAATACGAATGGATTGGGAATTAAAACGTAATTTTAACACTGTTAGTGTAAAATATTAATCAATCTATATGATATAATTTTTTTCATTATCTGTATATTTCAATTTATTTCTAAAAATATATTTAAAGTCAGTTTACACTATTTTTATAATTTTTAAAATTTATTAACTAAAATTTTAAAGATATTTATTAGCACTTTTCTTTGCAATAAAAGTTATAGTTGTCATTTTTAAATATATGCATTTATAAGAGTATAAAAAGCTTATAAAAATATTAATTAACAAAATTTAATAATTATAAATTTTTTATTAAGAAAAATTAGAGTTTATTGTTTGCTTTTTAAAATAATTTTTTTTGTTAGTCTAAGTTTTTTTTAAAAAAATATTTTACAGTAATTTTGTTTAAAAATTAAAAATCAAAACATCAAGAAACAAACCCTACATTAGTCACTTATTCTTAAGTACTAAGAATAAGTGGACTCTTTTTTAACTTTTAATATGTGTTCTAAGAAATAGAAAAAATAATAACATAAATTTATATTTTTTGTATTTTATGATTGATTTAATAAATTATATATATATATATATATATGAAAATTTAATAAATGCTCATAACAATTTCTTAGTTTTTAAAGACTTATTTCATTTTCAATTGTAGCCTTGTTTAATAATGATCACAGATGAATATTAATTTGACTAATCAATTTACATTATCACCGACTTTTGCTTCAATGGAAAAAAAAAACTATTCTCAATCTTGAAGATAAATAATTAAAAATATTTTTTTACTAAAAATAAAAGTATCTAGTAGTTTGAAATTTTAAGAGTATAATAAATAAAATTTAATAAAAATGACTTGTTTTAGACGATTAAATTTAACATTAAAAATTAATTAAAAACTAATGTTGACAAAATCGTAAATGAAATATAAATGGGAACATTTTATGATAAAAAGATAATACATATAACTTCAATTATAAGGTATAATATTATTAATATATTAAATAAAAATTTAATAAAATAATAGTATACGTAAATTTTTATTGGCTCATGAACAAACCTTAAAAAAGCGTTACACGAGTGAATTTTTGTGTTTGGTTTGATTGTTTGACAGAGAAAATAAGGAAAAGGAAGTGTGATGAAAAAGAAGCTGGAGAAAATGAAGCATATGATTAGCGTGAAAGGTCAAAGTGGGTAAAGATATGTATTATTAGGCTTTACGTGAAGCCCGAAAGGGTATGGAAAAGGGGAAATTGGGGTGGAGCAGGGAAGTTTTAACACCGTCCTATTTGCTGCATGCCAATGCCAATGCCAATGCCGCATCTTATTCTCATCATCTCTCCTTCCTACCAATCCCAATGAGGCAATGACCCAATCCAAGAGACCAAAAACAAACACCTCTTTCTCTCTACCGTCCTTCTTCCTCCATGCGAGGCCACGATTGGATCAACACTTCCCTTCCCGACGAGTTAATCGTCGAGATCTTCTCCCGCCTCCATTCCAAATCCACCCGCGACGCCTGTTCTCTCGTCTGCCGCCGCTGGCTCCACCTCGAGCGCCAAACCCGGACCACCCTCCGAATCGGAGCCTCCCACCTTTTCCCCAACCGTTTCTCCAATCTCACCAACCTCTTCATCGATGAACGCCTCTCCATTCCTATCCACCTCGTCCGTCATTTTTTCCCCTCTTTTCTTTTCATTCCTTTCTTACAATTCAACTTTCATCTCAATGTTTCTGTCACAGGGGAAAAGACGACCCCCCCACTACGACGGCGATTTCGGTTCTCTCTGTTTATCCGACGCTGGCTTGTCTGCTCTCACCGAAGGCTTTCCCAAGCTTCGCAGGTTGAGCTTAATTTGGTGTTCTAACGTCTCTAGCGATGGCTTGGAATCCCTTGCTCGCAAATGCACTTCTCTCAAAGCCTTGGATTTGCAGGTACGGTTTTACAAGCTTTTCTTTTATGAACTGATGCTGCTCCACACATGCTTAATTAATAATAATCTGCAATGTTTTCTTGATCGAACTGTTAATATGTATTGAGTCATTGTCTTCAATTCCATATCAATGCATTCTACATGTTGAAGGCACCATATTTGCAGTTTGATTACTAAGATTTTCCTTTAGGGTTGTTATATTGGAGACCATGGTCTGGCAGCTGTTGGACAGTGTTGCAAGCAACTTGAAGACTTGAATCTGCGATTCTGTGAAGGTTTGAGTGATACGGGGTTGGTTGAATTAGCCTTGGGTGTGGGAAAATCACTGAAATCTCTTGGTGTGGCGGCATGTGCCAAAATAACTGATGTCTCCATGGAGGCTGTAGGATCACACTGCAGGTCCCTTGAGACATTGTCATTGGACTCTGAGTTCATCCACAATCAAGGGCTGCTTGCTGTGGCTCAAGGATGTCCGACCTTGAAAGTTTTAAAGCTGCAATGTATTAATGTTACAGATGATGCTTTGAAAGCTGTAGGCACTAACTGTTTGTCTCTGCAGTTATTGGCACTATATAGTTTTCAGAGATTTACTGACAAGTGAGCTGCTATCTTGCAAATTCTTTTTTTTTTTCCTTGGATTTTTCTTCATTTTTTATTTCTGGAATATATTTTGAGACATGTTGAACTTAGTCCAAATTGAAAATGCTTTTATCAACCAATGGCTTGATGAATCATTTGTGGGGTTAGAAGAATGGAGCAAACAATCCCCCATCAAAGGACTTTAACTGCAATCTTTTCTCACGTGTCTGATCATTTATTATGCATTCTCCTAATAATTTTTTTGCTTTATTTAATATATTATTTTCTTTAATAATGTCTTACACTCAGGGGTTTGCGTGCTATTGGGAATGGATGTAAGAAGTTAAAGAATTTGATTTTAGTTGATTGCTATTTCTTAAGCGACAAGGGTTTGGAAGCAATTGCTACTGGCTGCAAGGAACTTACACATCTTGAAGTCAATGGTTGCCATAACATTGGAACTACGGGGCTAGAATCCATTGGGAGATCTTGCCAGTAAGTGTTTCTGAGCTAAATTACGTGTAAAAATGTTATGGATGCACTGCCTGAAAGTTATGTGTATGTATCTAACTCTGCTAACAAGGTTGGAACCTAGAGACTTTGTTGGTCCCAAGTAAAGTATTCAGGTAGATAGTTTCCCTAGCGTCTGAACTCTCTTTAAACGGTTAATCAGTAAAGTGTCACAGGAATGTGTATGGTGAATGTGCCATGATATTTTTTTTACTGTGGAATGTGTCTATTGATGCTCCTTGAGCCCGTTTCTCCATGTTCTGGTGCATGAATGATTGTATTAACACCCATGTAACTTTGCAGTAATTTAGTGGAATAGTGATGTAACGACTTAGGCTTCCTATTGTAAAAAATAAAAGAACAAAGTGTAAAATAAGCAAAAAGCACAGTACATGCACTTGCAAAAACTGATCAAGCATTCCTGCTGCAAACAAAAACACAAGATGCTAAACAATATATTCACCTGATTTTCTGTAAGATTTTGGAGTAATATGTAAAGATTGTTTTAACTGGCATGCTAGAATCATAAAAAATTGTCTTGAACTGGAAGATTTTGTGTACACTATTAATCTCATAATCCATTTTCTTTGTAAATACCAATTTATTGTTTTAAAGAAATTGCTAAGTCTTGTAGATTTATTCTTGCTGTGGACCTGTCACCTGCATAGGAATTTTAGCTCTTGATATTGGGGTTATCATTGATGGCACAAGTTCTGAAAACGTTGAATTGTTTCCACTGGCCTTCCATTATGATTTTAATCCCAGCTTTTAATACATGCAGGCGTCTGACTGAGTTAGCATTACTATACTGCCATAGAATAGGCGATGCTAGCCTTCTTGAGGTAGGACGTGGGTGCAAATTCTTGAAAGTTCTTCACTTGGTAGATTGCTCAAGCATTGGAGATGAAGCCATGTGTAGTATAGCTAGTGGCTGCTGGAATCTAAAGAAACTTCATATTCGTCGTTGTTACAAGGTAATGTGTCTTCAGAGATTTTCAGTTTTTACGAAGCTGGCATGAATGACATAATTTTTTCAGTTTTTAAGACAATATTATAACCAATTAATTATGCATTCTAATTAATGTATTGTTTTCTTCTTTTTAAATTTTAAGGCAACATAGTACTCCTTGCTATTTTGCCTCTTAGCTAAGAGTTGTTATGGTTAATTCATTGTTAGCTCATTTTTAACTCTATGTCCCTCACCTTGACTATGATATGCATACATTATTTACTTGCTTATTTCCTTCCCAAAAGAAGATGAAGAATATAGGAAAGATATTTGAGAGGGTAGTACTTGAAATTGAATGGCAATTGTCAATGATAGATATCTGATACAGACTGGTATATATGATGTGACCTACTTTTTATGGTTCACTAATTAAATTTTTATGATAGGAGTTTTATATTGTTTTTTTTCTTGCTCTTTCTCTCATGGTTTCCCGCTCTCTTTGTTATTACTAGATTGGGAACAAGGGAATCATTGCTGTTGGTAGGCACTGCAAGTCACTAACAGATCTTAGCATTCGATTCTGTGATAGGTAAAACCTAATTTGCTGCTCTTATATTTTTCTCATACGAAGAATGCTTAGATACACACACACACATGTATATTGAGATTTTAGTATTTTGGTTTCTTCTATAATTTCTTCCTGTTGAAATGAAAAGTGAAAGCTCTAGATTACTCAGAACATATACCTTAATCTCTTTTGTTAAATTACTAGGGTGGGGGATGGGGCCCTTGCTGCAATAGCTGAGGGTTGTTCCCTTCAGTATCTGAATGTTAGTGGTTGTCACCAAATTGGAGATGCTGGAGTTATAGCCATTGCAAGGGGCTGTCCTCAACTCTGTTATTTAGACGTGAGTGTACTGCAGGTACGTGCTTGTCTCTCTCTTTTTTTATATACCAAAAGCTCATGTAAAATTATTTGTTTTCCATATTTTTTGTTTCAAAAGTATGGCATGGTTTCTTGATTCTGTCATAGTCATTTCACCAGAATATATTGTGGATGACACATCTACACGGTTAGGGACTGCATAAATATTCTCACATAGCATGATGCCAAACTTTTGCTTGTGGCATACATATTAGCATCGATGTTTGCTGTAAACAGTTCCCAAAACTACATTACATAGTCATGTAATGTCTATATGGAAGAGCTCAATATTCATTATGCATGCGAAAATTAGTTGTGGAGAATCTCTAAGTTGGTCAACCTGCTGACAACTATAACCTTGTGCACGAAATTTTTTACCTTTTAATTTTCCTGTTTTGTTTCATTACATTTTTCATCAATTGCAGAATCTGGGTGATATGGCGATGGCTGAGTTGGGAGAACACTGTGCATTACTTAAAGAAATAGTGCTCTCACACTGCCGTCAAATTACTGACGTTGGCCTGGCGCATCTTGTAAAAAGTTGCACAATGCTAGAGTCATGTCAAATGGTTTATTGCTCTGGTATAACTTCAGCTGGAGTGGCCACCGTTGTATCTAGCTGTCCCAACATAAAGAAAGTCCTGGTTGAGAAATGGAAGGTTAGCCAACGGACAAGGCGACGAGCAGGCTCTGTTATTGCCTACTTGTGCGTGGACCTTTAGACCGTATACATTCATTTCAGTGACCTTTAGCTTTTTTCTGCTTGATTTTGAATATACAAAAAGCTGCTGGCAACTCACGGCCTAATCTCGTGGGTATGAACTATGAAACATGAGGCAAAGTAGGGTGCGTGGCTTTATAGGAGTTTTTATGGGAATATCAAGAGAGTTAGTTGATAAAAAATTACAGTAGCATGTCAATAGGTAGATATAGTTAAAAAGAGTAATAAGAGTTACAACTCTAATATTGATTTTACACATTATGGAGAAATCTAGTTGAGATTAAAGATCTGTTTTTATCTTTCTGCTTCAAGGTATAAGCCTCAATTCTCCTTCGAGAGATCTTGTTCATTGCGTGGTTTATCTGATGACATACAGGAGCAAGTCAGAGAAGGTCAAACACAACCTCGTAATGCTATGTTCATGCATGCTACTTTAGAATCCTATGTAATCACACGTTCATGTCATTGCAACGTGATTTTTCAAAAAAAATAGTTTGTGAATACTTTAAGTATTTTAGTGTTGTTTTTAATCAAAATTAGAATTTTGAATTAGTAACCTGTAATAAAAATGGTTTTAAATTGTTTTATGGCCTAAATAATGAATTGATTCTTAAAAATTTTCATTTGATTTTTTAAAATAAAATTTTAATTTTTTAGTAGTTTCTTAATTTTTAACTTCACTCGTAATATGAGTGATGTGAATGATAAAATAATATTTACATTTTCAATTTTTTTAAAGTCTTAATTTTATAAATTAAAATTTTATTTAAAAACTAAGAAAAATGAGATGTTAATAACACATTTTAATTTTATTATGTTTCTGTCAAATTATATAATTTAATTATGATTGTTATATAAATAATGAATTAAGTTGATATATTATTAATAAAAAGACTGTCAAAATAATTTCTTTTTAAGAAATTAAGTTTTAAAAGTGTTTAAAAAAGAAAAACTAAATTAAAAAAATCACAAAGTATTAAAAAGTTAAAGCTTTATTTAGACCTTATTCTATACTATTCATAAATATTAGATGAAAAAACAACTCGTGATGTTATTAATTTCCTTCAAGGAATAATGCTATAATTACACGAATATTATTTACATGAGCTTTTACCAAAGACGTGGCATTTGGTTTCTTTTAAAACATGAGGGCAATTGGAACCTTAGGATGGGTTGAGGATCTAATGTATAATAAATAAAAAGGGAACTTGCATTTAAAGGCATGGTATTACATTATTGGTTATTTTTTATATCTAAAGCAATGAAATATATTTTAGAGGAAAAAAAACATAATTATAACTCTTAATTAAAGAAATTTGAGGTGAAATTCTAACAATTTCAAAATTGTCACTGTACTTATATTTTATCAGAATTTAAAAATTAACAATAAAAAAATACAATCTACCCGTCACTAAACCAAGTTAAATAAAATCAATAATCGATAAATATTTAAGAAATCACAGTGAATACCTATGCCAAAAGAAATCTACTCACATTCACGCATTTGATAGTTAATGAAAAAAGGTTTGAATATGTTTTCCATTTCTATACTTTTGCAATTTTTTTAGTTTATTTAAAAACCTATTACAAGTGCCAAAGAAATAAAAAGAAAAAGAGAAACGGGTCAGATAATTTGAGTCCAAGTTTATCGGTAAAAGAAAAGAGAAACGGTGCGTTATGGAGGCATGATCGGAGCAGCAGCCATGCCCAGTGGATGTAGCATCAGAGCAATATGGGTTCTCAACAACCTCGACGCCGTCGTTTTCTCGAGGAGATTTCCGGTTGTCGAGAAGCGTTGGCGAGCTGCTTGCAACGCCCACAATCAAAGCCATCAACTCTTCTCTTCCTTACCCACTGACTCTGACATCTCTAATGCTTTTCTCGACCGAAAGCATAGGTTTCTTCTTCTTTTCTTCTCTCTCCTCACATTTCACTGTACGCACTCCAATTGGTGCTTTCCATCTCATTGTTCGGATGCCAAAATTATATGTAGTTTATTCAATTAAACAAATCTCACTCTTCCGATGATCATGTGTGTTTCCATGAGCAAAATATTTCTACTCACCATTTTAATATTGTAATTTCAACCTTTGTCTTTTGAATGATTTTTCGTGGTAACTTTCCTGCTTTTGGGTAGGGAGGGATCTGCTCGAGGATATGGCATTCGCAAAAGTAATTCATCTGTGGGATCAGATTCATGGGTGGATGATCCCATTACTCGTCATATCATAGGCCTTTACATTAACAAAGAAGAGGAAGACAACAAAAATCTCTTGTGGCCTTTAATCTTGCACCCTAAGGGCCTTTATAGTATACTTATTCTGCCATTGGTTGAGCCTAGGCATTTGAAGGCTTATGAAAGGTTATGTAAAAGACCTGATTGTGGAACTGCTCTTGGTCTGGATGATGGTTTGTCTTCCCTCTTACTGGATCTTCCATCAGTAACAGGGTATGCTAAGTTACTTCACTTGCAAATGGCACCAACATTCAGCAATTGTACCAAATGAGAAAACTATCTCTTACATGTAGTTTTAGATTGATTAGTAGTTATTATTATTATTATTATTATTATATATTTTTATTTTAATTGGATTGCTCTTATATATTGTTTCACCCCGAGGTTTTGAAAACATGCACGAAAACATTACATTATTTTGCTACAGATTACAGAATGCTATATGGAATGAGGTTTTGTTCAGCCTGTATTGGCAGATGTCTTGGCCATTCGACCCCAAGCCTAACTTGCATCTTATAACTGTTGATTCATAACTATTAAGCCATTATATGGATTGAGAAAATACCAGCAGTTGTTGATGCAAAAGAAAAAAGTCTGTTATGTTTTCTCATTGGAACTAAATTTCCACGAGTATTCTTAGAGATATAAAGTCATTCATGGGTCTCCACTAGGGCTACCAAAATTAATCCTTAAAATTGATTATATTTGGGTAACTTGTTTGAGTAGCTTATATTGTCTGTGAAAATAGAAATCCCTAATCCTTGGTCCATCTTACATTGCACTTTAAACAACTTCAATTTGTTTTTTTTATGAGCTGAATTGATTGCACTACAATGGATCCAAAGAAAGCTTGTTTTCAGTATTGATGGTAGTGAGATTTTACTTCATAGTATGTACTTTTAATTAGACATACCATACTACTTTTGTTTTTCATTTCTCAGGGCATTTATGATAGCACATGCCATTGGTGACATAATTACTGGCGACACAGTAGAACCTGAAGTGATTGTAAGTGCAGCTCCTTCTGTTGGAGGGCTGTTTGATTCCCTAACTGGAAGTATAGGCATCTCTTCCAGGGCAAAACCTGTGGCTGCACCGGTTGCTTCCTCCCCTACAAGCACAGCGGTACCTGGATCAGCTACAGCAGATACTCCAAAAATTGGGTCTAGGCCTTTGGATAAAGATGCACTGAGAACATTTATCAGTAGTTCAATGCCCTTTGGTTGGTACTTTTTTATTATGGTATTTCTCATCTCATATTTTTGCAGTGGTTTTTTCAAGTAAGCTGGTAGTTATCCATTGCTTGTAAATTTATTCTACCAATGTATATTTTGTATACAGGCACACCCTTGGACCTTAATTATTCAAATATTTTTACTATCAAGGTCAATGGCTTTTCAGGATCAGATTTACCTCCTGCAGATCAGAAGCAGCCAGCTTGGAAACCATATTTATACAAAGGAAAGCAGAGAATGCTGTTTACAATTTGTGAGATTGTTAATGCAGCTCTGTATGATAGAGATGAGATTCCAGATACTATATCAATTTCTGGTCAAATAAATTGCCGAGCTGAATTAGAAGGGTTGCCAGATGTGTCATTTCCCTTGGCGGGATTGAACACAGCAAACCTTGAGGTTTTATCATATCATACTTGTGCTCAAGTTTCAGATCAAGGTTTGGATAAGCAGGGTGTGATGTTTTCTCCACCATTGGGTAATTTTGTGTTGATGCGTTATCAGGCAACTTGTGCCCTTGGACCGCCCATAAAGGGATTCTATCAGTTGTCAATGGTTTCTGAGGATAAAGGTGCATTTCTATTCAAGTTACATTTAATGGAAGGATATAAAGCTCCTTTGACAATGGAATTCTGTACTGTGACAATGCCCTTTCCTAGGAGGAGGATTGTATCGTTGGATGGGACTCCTTCTGTGGGAACAGTTTCAACTTCAGAGCGTTCTGTTGAATGGAAAATTGTGACAAGTGGACGGGGACTGACTGGAAAAAGTATTGAAGTGACTTTCCCAGGAACAGTCAAGTTTGCACCATGGCAAAACCAAAGGGTGTCTTCCTCTAGGTCATCTTTTGGAATCCTTGTTGAAGAGGATAGTGATAATGAGACTGAAAATGCTAGCAACATGGTTAATGAAGAACATTTGATGGAGAAAATGAACAAAGATCTTCCTCCAGTAGATCTAGAGGAGCCATTTTGCTGGCAGGCATACAATTATGCTAAAGTACGTGCCTTCCCATTTTCATCTTTTAACATGACATCTTTTTATCTTTTAATATTTTATGTAAGTTTGGATTTTAATTTGCTTCATTTTTTCTTTTGGTTCTTGATTAGTTTATGCTTTTGTTATTTTATCATGTCATATCATACGATTATTAGTGTTGATTATTAGGGATTGGATGAAGAAGAGGTTAAAAAGAATATATTTCACTAATAGGACTCTGATAACTCTGTTGCTATGATAATGCAAAATGTTGACCCAGTACTCCTATTTCTACTAATATTGTAGGGTAGATACAAGCATAGTTATACTTAGAGCAAGCCCAGCCCAATTGCTCCCTAATAATCCTTGTTCTCTCAAGCTTTTGAGAAAATTGACTTTGTATATGCTGCTTAAGCTGTCTATGAATGAATTGAGTACATATTCTATAAAAAGAATTTGTAAACTTGATGAGCATGTATTTGGTTGGACTACATATCTTGGATGTATGTTAAGTCTGTAATTCCATGAAGATTAGATGTTCTTATATTAGAATTTTCATTTATTACAGGTATCATTCAAGATTGTTGGGGCATCAATATCTGGAATTGCCGTTGATCCTAAATCTGTGAGTCTACGAGTCTATTTTTGTTGCCAATATTTTTAGATAAACATTTAAGATCCATATAATTTCGATTCAGTATCCGGATTATAT